ACTGTCAATTTCAGCAGCAAATGTAGGTAGGTGGTAGATCCCAGAATCTGGATCAAAATCAGACATTAAGTGTCTTTTCTGGGAAATAGAAGCATGAATAAAAACAGATTCATAAGAAGGATTGAGGTTTAAGCATTTTTTTCTTATTAAAAATGTACTTGGAAAACTTAAGGTAGTTCATTTTAAAGTGGAATGATGTTTTGACAAAGAAATCTTTTTTTTTTTTTCAAAAACTGCATCAGAGACAGGGCACAGGTTTGGGTCTTCGTGTGAAATTAGTCTTTATTCTTCCATAGGAGTTTAAGGTGCTGCTGGTGAAGCTTACTTAAAGGAGGTCCTGCTGTGCAAATTTGTGGATTATCAAGTAGATGGATTATGGATGAAAATGGATCCATGTGGAAGTCAGTGTAAAGTAACTGGTGTGTTGTGAACTCACAGGTGGCCTTTCTAAGGATGAACTTCCTTTTTTTGGACCTGGAAATGTTAAGGAGTAAGCCTCTTTAAACAGAGCTGGTACAAAGTACTTACTCAGGTTATTCTCCTGCATACATGGGGCCTTTGAAGTTATTCCTTAATAAGTTTTTCCAGTATCTCTGAAGTGAGACTTGATAATCACATAAAATAAAATAAAAGTAATTGTTAACCTCAAATATTCCATGAGGGGAGAAGTTCACAGATGTGATATTGTCAGTCTCTTGATGCCTCTACAAGGGTGACTGATGAGTGTAGATATGCGAAGGAGGAGAGACTCGTGCCAACTCATTTTTAGCAGTATGCGTAAGGAAGGCTAGGGGAGCATCATGACTTGATGCTTTCAGCAACCTCATAGTGAAAGACGAAAATCACAATGTCGTCTCTTTTTCTCAAAACGTGGGGTTATTCATGCATGCACTTTGCAAATAGTAACTGCTGAGGTCACGCATCAGCGTGGCCAGGGAGTTTCATATTTAACCTAGCAGCAGTTTGTGGTGTGTTGATGAAGCTGTGTCACTGGGACAGGTACTTGCCTGCGGGAATTAGAAAGTGCTCTCTAAGAACTGTCATGCCTTGTGCTGACAAGTCCTTCACTGGTGTGAACTCTCACTGTCTTCTTCGTCAGGACAGCTGCTGCGTGAGCACATTCTGCTTCACATGTGTCAAAGAACAAATTCGCGACTGGATAGGAAATTCTGAGAGCTGACATGAAAAAGGAGCTTTGGGAATACAGGAACATTTTTTGAACCTACTATTTTTCTATGCGTTATTTTTCTAGACAGATATGTAAGAAATATATTACATTCTGATTGCATTGTAAAATATGAAATTAAGCATTTTCCTGTTGTGCAATCAAATCTCTCATGTTCGCAGTATAGAAAATATGCCCTTTATGTTATAGTTCCATACAACTTATTAGTATTACTGTCATGTACAGCAAGTTTGACATAGTGTAACATATAGGTTGCTCTGTAAGAGGATTGCAGGTGTGTTTGGCTAAGGCTATACACTGCAGGCCTGTTTTCTGTCACCTTGCTCTTTGTGTTGTCATTTATATCAATGCAAGTAGGTGTAAACTGCTGCTAATTCAGGGAGGTGGCAATGACTGCCCAAGGTGCAGAGACATGAGAATCAGACTTTATATCTGTAATACCCTGTATTGCACTGCAGAATATGCTCCCTATTCATTTTCCCTTCAGTGTGCTTTTCCAATCAAAAGGAACTTGTTGCACTGTGTTTTGCAGAAGAGCTTACAGAGTCACTGTATCAAGACTTTTTAGAGGACCTTTCCACGAGTGCTGAAAGCAAATGCAAAAGCACTTAAACAACAGTTAATATTCTGCTGCTGTTAAACTTTTTGTTTCCTAAAAACTCATCCTTCATTTTTTCTGGCATACGGACCAGAGAGCCACACATTCCACTGTGAAGGTATCACTAATGATGTGCTAGTTCTCAAGGATGTATCAGAGTGCTGCAGCTCACACCCGATAACACTGCTCACTCCAGTGCTGGCACACTTTGCCTGCTGAGTGCAAAAATCTCTCCTGAAACAGATCTAAAGCAAGAAGCTGGGATCTGCATTGACTTGCAGGGCCATAGAACAAGCAGCGTTAAAATCAATTCTCACACAGAATCCTCTTTCTCAGAATACTAAATAGAATACTTGATCCTTCCTCTCTTGAATGTCTTGCTTTTCCCCTCATTTCCTGTATACAGGAAATGCGAAATGCAAGTGTTGCTTGTGTTACAAATGTTTAGCCTTTTGCCTTTTTAAAGCACACCAGTTATGTGCTGTGGTAAGACTTTTTCCTTTTTTTTTTTTTTAACTTAGGTTTTATCACAGGATAGAAATTAAATAGAGCTCCTGTATTTGATTAATTGAGAAGACTATGGCAAAATATAATTAATAGCTTTTCTCTGAGATTAAGCATGTCTTCTGTTTTGACCGAATAAACATGCACAGTAAGGCAACAAAAGTCTCCAAATTAAAACCGAATAGGGAACATTATGAATTGGACAGAGAACTGTGGGGTTCAGATGCTCGTAAAGATTGCTGGAAGTAATTCTCTTGATTTTAACTCCTATTTGCCGGCTGTGCTGGGTTTCTGCAGAGAGGGATCTACTTTGCTGTTTACAAACTACAGTATATGGCTAACATCTGGTACCAGGTCAGAGAGGTTGCTATATTCTCTCTTTGCTCAGCTGGCTGCTTAAACTGCCTGTTGTAACTGGGATGTTTGTAGTTATTTTCTTTCTTGATAGTAGTTTGTGTCATAGTATATGGTCAGAAAGACACAGACAAGATTGTTTGTAGGTTTCTTTAATAAGACCAGTTTAAAAAAGCAGAAAGACTTTGAGTTACATAGACCTTTCTAGCAAATTCTGTGACTAGATAACATTGAGCTTGATAGTTCTAGGAGACTTAGAACTTCAAAGGCTGTTTTCTCCTTGACATCTCCTCGTTAATCCTGTCTTTACTGATAAAATTTAAATGCCAGGAGGACCTGACAGATCATTGACCTGATCTGCTCTTTAAGGGTCCATTGCATTTTGCCCACATAGGAGGTCCAGTGTTTGGCCAATATAGATTGACCAGAGAGGCATTCAGTTTTGGCTGGATGCCATCAAAGTGAAAAGTCCATTTGCTTTACTTGCTGGTAGCAGTTACTGATGCTCTCTGCTCAAAATGCATATGCTCTGTTGCTGTTTGGAGTTTCTTCCAATATCCCCTTCCATTCATTGCTTCTGCTTTTGCATGCTGTTTTAAAGAGCTGTTCAGTACCTGGAATATTGTGCATGTGGAATTATGCTTATCCATTGCTCAGGGTCTTTTCTAGTTGAACTTGCCTGTCTAGACAGAGCAGGTCTGAATGTGCCCACTGTCAGGGGCATCTCTAATCAGATTTCTACAGAGAAATTTTTACTCAAACTGTATTGCATCCACAAAGTTATCATTGCTTATCAAACTGGTAGTCTTCTCAAATAATGAAGAAATGACTGCATTCATTATATATTTATTGAGTAAATCATTAGAATGAGCTGTTTTATCTAAGGGTTTGCAAATTGTTGAAGGTGTTGACTGAACTTCTGCATAACTGAGCCAAATGAAACTTCCCTTGTGACTGAGAGCATCTTTGCTACCTCATTCATTTCATGAACCTCTGCAGCTCTGGCTTGTGCCTAGAAGTGAAGATGTCCAAATTTCTGTGTTGATTCCAGTAGATCGAGAGACAGGGCTGCTGGAACTCCAGTATGATGCTGTCCATACTCATCTTCAGAGAGCTACAGGTAGCAGCCACTTGACCAACAGTGATTTGAGGCAGATGATGAAACAGTGAACAGATGAAACAGTGAACAGTAAAACAAGGCAATTGAACCTCATGTCTCATTGAAGTGTAATAGCCACCTAAAGAAGAACATTATTTTTAAGGCTTCGTCAGAACAATTTTGCAGAAAGATTACAAGGGTACTCGTATTTTTTTTTCTTTTATTCCTTTTTTCTAACTTGAAAAGGGTAACATGGCCTACAAGATTTTAAATCTCTGTTTCCAAGCCGTGGTGCTTTCTTGGCCTCTGAACCAGATCTTTAATCTAGATACATGCCTACCCTTTATGACAGATGTCAGAAAGAAGTAGTACAATTTCCTAGCCAGTAATGAAAATCAGGGAGCTGGGGGCTTGTTTACCAGCTTACCATAAGCACTGTGTGGTGTAGTCTGGTGTTACAGCTGGCAGACCTAACAGCTCCTGCCTGGTCTATATTATAACAGCCATGCCAAGTCCTGCACTTCTTGCCTTCTCCTGCTTGTCTGACAGCAAAGTGAGCCTGTTCAAAGAGCTTAAAAATACTAACTTCTTTTTTCTTTGTAGCATTTCTTTGTTCCTTGTGCATTTCCCTCAGTTGCTGCCTGGGTCAGGACTGCAGTTTTGCAGTAATTTGGGATTCGTGTAAATGTCGCCCCCTGTCCACCCCTGCTTATGCTGTCACTGGGGCTCATGCAGCCCGTGTGGGGAGCCACGTCTCAGAGCCCATCTGGAGAAGAGCCATATTCCCCCTGCTTTTATTCCTCTATTTGTTTATTCAGTGGGGGTTATTTTTGAGCTGGTTTGCTGATACGACTCACTACATGGCTGTACAAATACTAGCAGGAACAGGGGGTAGGACCTCCTTTTGCTAGTAACTTCTAGAACAGTAAAAGGACTGCTTCAGCTATCCCATGTTAATCTACACCTGTTCCACTGAAACTAGAGTGTTTATCCTGTATCTGAGGTAAATGAGAAGAGAATCCAATTCCATGGAAATAAAATATTGCATGAGAAAAGATGTGAAGGACAGAAAAACTGGAAGGTACTACTGTTCAGCAGTCTCTTTCTTTCAATAATCTGATCAGTCCTTCTCGTTAAGGCATTGTAAGATAGCACAGTAAGGGGCAAATACACCCTAGTGAGATAGTTAGTGGGCTTTTAGTTGAGTATCCTGCTTATAAAATGCATCTTTCTGACTTTTTTTCCTCTGCTACTCACAGAACTCAGCCAATGTGACAGGATCAGTGTGCTGCCAACCTCCACTTCATCATCCAAGTAAACACACAAAGTCCCCAAAAGAAACTGAGCAAATATTTCCTAAGGTAAGTGTGAAAATCCCAGCCCACGCTGGCCCTTTTCAGCTGACATTCACTGTAAAATTACTAAATTGCATGAATGGAATAAAGGCCACGTTTGTCTGTGGTGTTTCTGCTGGTCTTATTGGAGTCACTCTTGGTACCCGTTTTGATGCAGAGTTACTCATAGGTCAGTGGGTGGTTTGGTTTGGCTTCAAAGCTCTCAGCTGATTTTTCTGCAGTGGAAATTTATCTGAACTAAAGGGGAAAATGTTGATAAGTTGTGGATGCCCACCTGTGAAAGTGGCAGTTCTGTTATAACTACTTTTTTTTTCTTTTCTTTTAAGTCCTAATTTTAATACCTTTCTCATTTGTCTTTTCTAAATTAAAAAATCTTTCTATGTCACTCAAAGCCCAGCCTCTGGCTCTAATCCTGTTTTGTTCATATGCGCATAAGGTAGAAGAGGGGAAGTCCAGGCCTGTACAGTGTGGGGCTAGTGTATCTCCTTGCTGGTGAAGATCTTGCCCTTGCTCTGCATGCAAGGAGGCCTTTCAGGCAGTTGCAATGCTGCTGCTCTTCCTCCAGGCCTTGCAATGGAGTTCCCCATGCTAATGCTTTCCAGGGGAATATAGACATGTACCAATTCTTCTAAGTGCAAAGAATCTATTGGCTCGAAAATGTGGCCACCCTTCATCTTTGCTGCTGAGAATGAAACAGTACTTTTTTTTTTTTTTTTCCCTCCAGTAAGTAGATGTTGAAAGGACTTTTTCTGACTATCATTTCTCTGTTGCGCTAGACTCTTGTTCAGTCTTGCACTTTGCCTCCCTTGATTATTATAGTGCCTTCAGCCTCTGCAAGGACAAATATTTTCACTCTTCAGAGTGTAAGAGCTAAAATCATCTCTTGGCCTGTTGATGTAGTTGTGTCACTCCCAGGGGAGGATCTCTTGATGGCTCTCCATCTTTTCTCACCTCCAAAATTTCTTAAAGCTTTTCTTCCCCATTGCTATGTTTTAAATTCCTCTGCTCTTGTGACATCCTCAGTTATATTTCCTTTCCTCTGCTATGGCCTTTATGCTGCTGCCTAAGCACTATACTGGTTTCCTGAGCTCATCCAGAGAGCCCACACCACAATCATCCTAATAGTCCATCCTGGCTGCTCTGATAAGAGAGGGCCTTGAAGACAAATATTAAAGTACTGTTTCCCTTCACTGACTTTCCTCTGAGTGTCCATCTTTTGGCCAGCGTGAGAGAGTGACAGTTCCTTCTGGAATATAAAAAAACAATTATTGCTGTATAGGTTCTACTGTAAACAAATCACAGATACTGCTACGAACTTCAGTTAGGAGCAGAAAAGAAAATAGACTCATAATATTTAAAATTTCAGCCCTGGGAGTAAGTGATCAAGTTTTTTGACAAGCCGTCTATTTCTCCACTAAAAATGTGCTAAGGAAGAGACCACTTCTCCTCTTTTCACACCACAATGTTCTTCCAGGGCCTGCAAAATCACATGTGCTTCAGAAATTGTATCTTTAGTCCATTTAGCACCAGGAAAGAATTATGTGAGTAAGGGCTTTGGGGTAGCACTGCAGTGTGCCAACTTGGAACAATGGTCAGTACTGAGTCTTCAGAATTAAGGACCACATTGTGCTGGTGGGTTTTTGTAATTTATGTTGTATCCCTCCCATCACTTCATTTATTGCTACTCACATACCCATACCCATCCTGCGAGTCCAGACACATACCAAGCCTAGATGCTAGGCTTGCATCTCTTGCAGTGCTCAGCAACACTAACTATATCTGTAGGAACTGTAGAATTAAAAATTGTAGTTTTCTTACAGATCAGCACTCTGAGATTGCTAAACTTTTGAAGTAAATAGATGATGTACAGATGAGCAGTAGAGAGGACATAGGGCAGTCTCCACTTGTTTGTTTGTTCCTGTTAAAGTTTCTATCCCCTCACAATATGTTGCTCCCTCCTGCTTCCCTTGGCACTTATCTTCCCACCCATCATTAGCACCAAAATACCACCTAGCTTTAAAATGCTGATGCAGAGGCCCTGAGTTAAAAAAGAGATGCCTAAAGATTAGGGGCTAGGTTGCAGAAATGCCGAGCGTCCCATACACAGCTATGGGTCTGGGGATGGGGCTTTAAGCCCAGCAGCAACCGCTCAGGCTCTAACCTCAGTAGGAGATTGGGACACTAAATATTTTGCTAAAACTGGACCATGCTTCAGTGTTTGGGTGATCTGCAAGGTTAAGTTCCATTGATGCTGAGTGGTTCAGGATACCCTGTGTCACCTGTGCATCCTCAAAAGTGCTGTCTATAGGCAATAAATTATAGACACCTCTATTGGAAAATCTTGAGCTGGAGTCGTTTAAAGTTGTTCTTGATGATCTTGCAGATCCACTGGGGGCAGCTCAGGGAATGGCTTCAGCAATGTTTAAAATAAAAGACTTTTATAAACTAGGAGTTTTAGATATTAGTTATTAAATCTAGTTATGTCAAGAACAACAGTGAATTGTGCTTTGCCCTTTTGTTTTGTTTGTTTGTTTGCTTGCTTTTCAGCAGTTGGTCCCCTCTGCCTTCATTGCCTAAATGTAAGTAAGTGCAGGAATTTCAGGTTAAAGTTTGCAACATAAGCCAACCCCAAATGATACAACTTTTGCTTTTCTGTCTTAAGTTCACTTATCTGAAACTGTCTTCCTATCATTGAATAAAATCATTGAATGATTTAATGGGAGGTTAAATGAAAAGTAAGAGTTTTCATACTGGTGTGATGTAACAATCTTGTGCCCAATTAAAGCCTCAAAGCATTTTTTAAAAGCTGTATACAAGGTGAATCATTTCTGTAAACAGCCCTTAAAGTGAAAATCCAACACCTTTGCTGTGGGAGAAGTGATACGGCCTCGAATACTTTGCAAACAAAGAGTCACTGGCCTTCTGCGAGCTGCTCTCTTTCTTCAGCAGCTCAGCATGGGGTGCCAGAAAAATCATTAAGCGGCCCATCTTGCACTTCCCTCTTTTCCACACCTGCGTATCACGATCCCTGCTGTAACTTTATGGACCGTGAGGAGGCAGGTTTGACGCCATGAAACACAGGCTCAGCCAACAGCTGCAGGATGGGCAGAAAGCCAGACAGTAAAATGTAAAGAGGAGGAAGGAGAGGGAGCACCTTTGAAGTCTACAAAAAGGCATGACTTTGACCACTTCCTTTTTTAATTAGCTGTCTCAGGTACATTGAGCTATTGGCCACCAGTTTGAATGTAAAGCACGGGGTATTTTGGAAATGTTGAAGGCAATACTGAAAGCTAAATGTATGATTTCATTGCTGTATGGCTGTTCTTTTTTCTCTCTCTCTCTTTTTTTTTTTAACCTATTTTTGCTTAATTTTGACATATGAGCATGGATGTCAGAGGACACAGTTTATTCCATTTGGGAATGCCTGAACTAAAGTTAACTCTGGCTTTCAAGTGTGAAAACCCACATTAATGCAGTGTTAAAAGTTACGATTTTGGTCACACACTAGCCAGGAAACTCATAGTTACAATCGCCACGGTAACCATACCACAGCTCCTTGGCACAGAGCTAGATTTTTTGGGGGGGAATTAATTTTTATAGTGTTAACTTTTGGTCAATACCTTAGCTTGTGGAAGTTGCTTTTGATTTTATTTGCTCTAGTGGAAAGCCTAATCTGAAGGATCATGTAGAATTGCAGTCACTATAGGGACCAACTTTTCCTGTGGCTTCAAGAGGCCAAAAGTTAATTTTGGACTTCTATGCTCTGTGCACTTTCTATTCACATTGAAGCATGTTTAGGGAAATCAATAAAGGGAAAATAGAAACAGCAGTTGTCCATGCGTGTAGGAACCACGCACTTTTAAATTAAAAGGCTGTAAATCAAGAGTAAGTATATTGATGCTAAAGGTCTATGTCAGCATCAGATCTTTAACCATAAGAGTGCTTTCTGTAGGATGTACTTTCTGACTAAAAACAGTTGCACTTAAATATGCTTTAAACATA